AACACAAAACTCAATGGCCTCATCTGTTCCATAGTCCTTGGCGATGCTTCCTTCTGGCCTAGCACGGTTGTGAACATATTTCTTTAGGATTCCCATGAACCTCTCAAAGGGGAACATGTTGTGCAGGAACACAGGACCGAGAATGCTAATCTCCTTAACCAGGTGAACTAGGAGGTGTGTCATGATATTAAAGAAGGAAGGAGGGAACACCAACTCAAAGCTGACAAGACATTGAACCACATCATTGTGTAGTTGAGCTAGATCCATTGGATCGATTGCCTTCTGAGAAATTGCATTGAGGAATGCACATAGCTTCACGGTGGCTAGACGTACATTTGGAGGTAGAATTCCTCTTAATGCAACTGGAAGCAATTGCGTCATGAGCACGTGGCAGTCATGGGACTTTAAGTTTAGGAATTTTTTCTCTGGCACATTTATTATACCCTTTATATTCGAGGAGAATCCAGATGGTACCTTGATGCTTGCTAGGCATTCAAACATGCTTTCCTTCTCTTCTTTGCTAAGAGTGTAGCTGGAAGGACTTAAGTAATGGCGTCCATCATCTGTCTTCTCTAGATGTAGGTTGTCTCATTCTTTCAAACACCGCAGGTCCTGTCGTGCTTCAAGTGTGTCCTTAGGCTTCCCATACACACTCATGAAGCCTAGCAGGTTCACACAAAGATTCTTCATCAGGTGCATCACGTCGATCGCGCTATGGACCTCTAGGACTTGCCAATAGGGTAGCTCCTAAAATATGGACTTCTTCTTCCACATGGGTGCGTGACCATCGGCATCGTTCGAAACAGGTTCACTGCTATGTGCCTTTCCAAATACTACTTTCACATCCTTGACCATATTGAGTACATCCTCACCAGTTTGGTTGCCCAGCTTGGTCTGGTGGTCTGCCTTACCTTTAAAATGTTTGCCTTTCTTTCTTAGGGGTGATTCGCAGGAAGAAATCGACGATGGCCAAGGTACACGACCTTTCGACATTTTTTCAAGAATATACCTTTAATGTCATCAAAACAGTGCGTGCATGCATTATATCCCTTGTTTGATTGTCCTAAAAGATTACTTAGAGCAGGCCAATCATTGATTGTTACGAACAACAATGCTCGCAGGTCAAAGTGCTCCTGTTTGTGCTCATCCCACAAACGTACACCTGGTCTGTTCCACAAAAGTAGAAGTTCTTCAACTAGTGGCCTTAGGTACACATCAATGTCGTTGCCAGGTTGCCTTGGGCCTTGGATGAGCACTGGCATCATAATAAACTTATGCTTCATGCATAACCAGGGAGGAAGGTTATAGATACATAGAGTAATAGGCCAAGTGCTATGACTACCGCTCTACTCCCCAAAAGGATTCATACCATCCGTACTTAAAGCAAACCTTAAGTTTCTTGCGTCATTTGCAAACTCCAGGAATTCTCTATCAATTGCTCTTCACTGGGACCCATCAGCAGGGTGTCTCAACATATTGTCTACCTTACGGTCTTCTTTGTGCCATCGCAACAACTTTTCATGGTCTTTGTTTCTGAACAGACGTTTGAAGCGTGGTATTATAGGAGCATACCACATAATCTTGGCAGGGATTTTCTTCGTGGGACGTTCGCCCTCAACATCACCAGGGTCATCTCGCCTGATCTTATACCGCGATGCATGACATACCGAGCATGCATCTAACTTCTTGTACTCCTCACCACGGTAGAGAATGCAGTCATTAGGACATGCATGTATCTTCTAGATTTCTAATCTCAATGGGCATACTACATGTTTTGCTTCGTACATAGTGACGGGTAATTCATTATCCTTTGGAAGCATCTTCTTTTAGATTTTCAGTAACTCCCCAAATCCCTTATCAGATACACCATGCTTTGCCTTCTATTGCAGCAATTCCAGTGTGGTACCCAACTTTTTTTGCCCCGCATCACAAATTGGGTATAGCAATTTCTTGTGATCCTCTAGCATGCGCTCGAACTTGATCTTCTCCTTTTCACTTTTGCATTCTCTTTGTGCGTCACGAATGGCCTGACCAAGATCATCAGTGGGCTCATCTTCTGCCACTACCTCTTCTTCAGCTTCCCCCATTACAGTATCATTGAAGGCACCATATTCAGCAATAATGTCATCATCGTCCCATTGTTCTTCTTCACCTTCTTCCATTACAACCTCGGTTTCTCCGTGCTTCGTCCAACAAATATAGTTTGGCATGAAACCCGACTTCAACAAGTGTGAATGAAGACTCCTTGAGCTAGCATATTTCTTCAAATTCTTACATATGGCACATGGGTAGCACATGAAACCATCGCGTTTGTTTGCCTTGGCCACACGTAAAAAAGATTGCACGCCCTCAATGAACTCTTGGGAGAGACGATCAGCATTGTACATCCAATGCCGGCTCATATGCATTACATGACATACATACCATATTAAAACCTAAAACATAATTAGTTAATTATACGATATGCATGCCACCACACAAGGTATTAATTTATGAAAGTCTCGCTACAATGTAGACAATCCCAACTACAACTAAGGCCTTGTTTAGATTGGGGTTAAGAATCAATATTTGGCACTGTAGCACTTTTGTTTGTATTTGACAATTATTGTCCAATCACGGCCTAACTGGCTCAAAAGATTTGTCTCGTAATTTACAATCAAAATGTGTAATTAGTTATTTTTTATCTATATTTAATACTCCATGCATGTGTCCAAAGATTTGATGTGATGGAGAGAGAGTGAAAAAACTTGCAATCTAAACAAGGCCTAAAAAAACTAAAGCTAAAATGCACTTCAGTAGCATAAGGATTTCGCGACCAATCCCAACTAAAACAGACAGATCATGCGTTTGTTCAACATCTATGGGCTTCTTCCGCAGGATCACTGCCTCATCAGCCGCCGTAGCCGCCTGTGCAAGAGAGTTTCGCATGTGTTCAACATACTCTTCCTCCCAGTACCAGCCTGAACATCCAGTGCCATCCCACTGAAATTAAAACAAAAAATAGAACTTTAATCACAATCATCATGAAAATAAGTATAAATTAACCATAATCATCAAATGCGACAAAATAACTCACATTGCGATCCGGACACTTGTAGAAGATACGACCCTTGTTGGAACACTCCTTCCTCACCTGGTACTCCATCACAATCTTCTCCTCACACTTGCCGCATGCAATGAGAGGGAGGTCCGGCCTCAGTCGCTTTGGAACCCGATGAGAGGCCAGGGACCCGGAAGCAGTTGTCATCTACTCTCTATACTCATTTTTAATATAATATAAATTTCTCATTTTATAAACAAATAAAATTAAAAAAACTCTAAAATTCTCTATATCTCTAAACCATGAAGTGTGCTATGCATGCTAGAAATGAAAACTGAATACTAGTTTTGAATAACTACTTTAACCTTCCTTCATCCAAATATGCAAACTTTAAAGTGATTTTAAGCTTAAATGGCTTACAAATAAAAAAATCCACCATAAAAACCCACATAATATCTAGTCCACAAAATGAGATATGCTACTATGAAACATGAGAGTATAAAGTTGGTAACTTTAGAACCGAAGAATCGATGGAGGAATCGAAGAAATCTTGTGATTACCGGCGATGAGGAAGAAGAGAGGCCGGCGATGAAACAAGAACACTGAGCTCGAAGTGGCTCGGGCTCGGGGAGGAAGAAGGGCTATATAGGAGGGGACCTTTAGTTTCGGTTGGAGACAGAAACCGGGACTAAAGGTCACTTTCTAGCCCCGGACGGAGCCTCCAGCTGGGAGTAGACTTTTACTCCCGGTTTAAGTTACCAACCGGGAGTAAAAGTTAACCTTTAGTCCCGGTTGATAGCTCCAACCGGAACTAAAGGTCCCCTGCAGCAAAAGCCTGCCGCAGTAGCCGTTGGGCAGGGACCTTTAGTCCCGGTTGGAGCTACAAACCGGGACTAAAGGTCTCTCTAGTCCCGGGTGCGAAAAATACCGGGACTAAAGCCAAATTTCGAGCTAGATCAAAGGTCGTTTCTCTACTAGTGAAAACATAGCTTGACATAAATACATATTTAAGGTTATGATGAGTAATGAATTAATATTGCTGCCGCTAAATTAGGTCGGCTCCCCTTGATATCTCGTTTCGATGGAAACGAAATTAGGTTAGGAGCTGATTCTGTTGGATCTTTAGTTCATCTGATTGCTTATCTACCGGCTTGTATCTCTTAAAATATCAGGGATTTTAGTGTGGAAGTGAAGCTTTGATGGTTTCTTTAACCATATATAGTGCTTTTCCCTATTGGTGCTTGATTGACTTGTTAGGGCTGGATTGTGTGTGTGTGTGTGTGTGTGTGTGTGTGTATTATTTCTTATGAATCCAGGTCAGCCGCAAATTGTAGATTAGCTCCCCTCAGTTTCTCTATACCATGGAAATCGACCAATTAGTTTGGTGCTTGCTTTCTAGGATTTATTTGGTGTTGACGGTTTGCTCATCTATTTGTTAGAGTCTGATGAAAAATCAGGGTGTTTTTCCCGTGTCGGTACTCATTTGATGTTTCTTTCAAAGACTTTTGAGATGTTTGGCTTGTGGTTGATTTCCATGTAGGGTCAAGATTGCACGTGTAGTTCGTTGTGAATCCGTTGCTGCTTGTTTTGGCTCTGTTGTTTTGCTATTCTCGTTGCTCATTCCTTGGTCCATATTTCGGAATTTTTTTGTCCTTTTAATTCCATATATCAAATATGAAATATGATTTTTTTTTTGTGCTCTATATTGGTTGGGAACTAATATATATGTTTCACTACAATGATATTTTGCACTCTGTGTGTTCCTTCAACAGAATACAAACTGGTTGTTATTATTTGAAAAGTGAGAAACTAACAACCATCAAGTTGACGGTGCATTTCTTTTGGTTTGCTTTATGAAAGTAGTATGGCATAAATAAAAATTGAATCACTGACCCAGCAACGTTTTCTTTACTGGTTATGACCCACATTTTGCCTTTAATTCTGCTTCAGTTTTGGAAAGATGCTGCCAAGTAAGAGGGGTGCTGATGATCTTACAAGATTCTCAGCTGATAATAAAAGAAATTGCAGTGGAGAAGAGGCAACTGACTTGTCGATTTCAGGTCCGCTGGTTCTTCTTTTGTCTTCATGTTTTTTTATTTATTATGGCTCTATTTGAGCGCTCATGTGTGTGTTGTAACACGTTTTCTTAATTTGGTGACTTATGTTGGGACAATCAAGATATCTGGAGTGAGCTGAGTGAGGAAGTTGCATCAAAGTTGTCTAGAAGTGTTGTCTCAATTGCTTTGTCCAATGGTGATTATTCTGTTGTACCCTTAATTTTTTCAAAATATATGTCTACAAATCTTTAGTTGTGAATGATATAAATTATGATCTTGTAGGACAAAGTGTGCTATATGCATCCTCTGGCATAGTTATAGAACGCCAGTGTAACTTCACAAAGTTTGTGACTTCAGCAAGTTTGGTTAGAGCTTTACATGATTCTGAAGCAAATGGCCATGATAAGCTTGAGGTTTGTGCTGCTGATAATCATTTATTAATCGCTATTGTTTACTGTACAGAATCGTGACTATTCTGTGCTGTTTTGCTTTTATCAATATAGATTGAAGTACGCCATGAAGGAAATGTTGCCATAGGGTTTCTGGAAGACTATGATTTGGATCATGAAATTGCTGTTGTCAAAGTCATGTCCGTCCTTGATGTTTATTGCATGCCTCAATCATCAGGTGCAATTTGACCCCCATGGTAGAAAGGTAGTGGCAGTAGGGTGTGACATCTCTGGCGGAGTATTGGCCACAAGTGGGACATGCACTGATTCACGCGGATCTCAATATAGTCGATATGTTATGTTCTCTACATGTAAATTATCTGAGGTACACTAGCATTATTCTGAGTGTTCTAATCTTTTCTGTTACTTTATGACTGAACTATGTCTCGTATTCAATAAAGAAAATATTACTGTACTACCTCTGTTTACTTTTACCCATCCCAAATTCCCAATACCTATCAAACTGTACAGTTAAGTTGAATGGATTTTGTGTTGGTTGAATTTGCAGTGGAAGATAATACAAAATTATTATACATTTTGAAGTATTTACACATTGTTGATAAAACAGTAGCATTTACAATTTGCATAAGACGATCAACTGTGACAATTTTAACATAAAGGTGGGAGTAACTCTGATTCTTTATCACTTTAAAGCCTGCCACCTTTTTTTTTTAGTAGACTATGCAGGGCGGCGCACTTTTTGATTTTTATGGGAACTTTTTTGGCATGAACCTCTTCTGGGATATGGAAAGACCAATTTTCTTGCCAAGGAGTATAATTCTCGAACGTCTGGGGCATTTTCATACATCCTTGAAAAAGAGTGTATTTCTAAACCTGGTGAAGCCAGTCAGGTATGCAAATATATTTCCAGTTTGTTTATCTATGTAGTTGCAGCTTCTAATGTTTACACTTAATAACAACTTGATGGTTTGGTATGTCTACTCTCTAGTGAAAGATATTTTCAAATGGTGATAGCTGTCTTATTGCAGGTGTCACAGTTGCTCTGTATTGTAGGCTTGTAGTGTAGCAATATTCGTCTGTATGAAATATTGAAGCCAATATATTTGTCTACCTCAAAATATGTTAGAATTTTTTATGTTGAGACTAACTAGTTGGGGATATGGTATCTCTTGACTAAGATTTTGTATACATTTGCTTAGGGTTTGTTTGGATGTAGATATTGAAGGTGCTGGCATTGAATTGGTACCAATACCAAATCAGTCTTGTATTGGAAATGACTCACAATACCAAATCTATTGTTTGGATGTACATAGAATTGACACGTCTTTCCTCTCCACCGCACCGCACCACCCCGACACTCCTGTGGGAGCACCTGCCGGTGGACACCTGCCGGACTTGGGGAAGGAGAGGTAGGCGTGGGGGGAGGCAGACACCTGCTCGGACCTGGGGAAGGAGAGGGGGGCGGTGGACACCTGAGGGACCTGGGGAAGGAGAGGGAGGCATTGGGGGCCACGGGGAAGAGGGTGCTCGCGCCGCCGGCCACGGGGAAGAGGCCCCGATTCCACTCAATACGGAGGGGTCCGGCTCTGTATTGGGATAGGTTCAATACCAAGGAATTGGGTCTCCAATGCCAAATCTCAATTCCACGTGCATCCAAACAGCAGCATTGAGGAAACCTGATTCCAATTCCAAAGTCTGGGCTCCAATATCTACATCCAAACGGGGTGTTATTTCTTTCTTGTTTTATTGCATTATCTGCTCATGTTGGTCCCTTTTGGGTTAGTACTCATATTGATCTTCATCTACAGGGATAAAAGAAGACGAATACGCATAGGTGTGAACTTTTACCCCATCCTGGAGGTGAATACACAACCACTCGACATTGGTTATCAGATGTTTCTTTTTTTAATTGTGATCCAGCACTATTTGTAAGGTCCTTTAGTGGTGCAAATTAAGCCTTTGCATCTATACTTATATTTACCTAGTATAGTCCTCCACAGTTGTATTGTAATGTTAGCGCCAATTCGCTTACCTTACTACTGCACTAGCATTGCCTGTGCGTTATGATCACAAATAAGTATACCTCGGGTTCTGATTTTATAATGTAAATTTCCTCTGATTTCAGATATTAGTGTGCCTATAAAAATCAACTGACCATGTAGTATGTACATATGCAGATAGTTCAATACTTTAGTAAATAAAATGCTACATGCACATTTCTACATAAATCTCAACTCCTATAGAAGACTGAGTTGGTGATGATGGGGTGTCTCCCATCACCACCACTGTACACCTATATGTCACCACCATATTTACCCATCGTCCTGCCACTTATTACAAATCAGTTTCACCCTCACCCCAATCTCCTAGAACGACGTCACGGAACCAAGGTTCACTATATACACAAATGTACTCCTTTGATTTTGTATTGCTGTTGCAACACACGGGCAGTTTGCTAGTCCATCTAGAAAAGATCTGGATTGAGGGTGCATACAGCAATCATGATCATCACTGGCTCCTTGAAGGATAGGGATGTTCATGGATTTGTTCAAACACAATCACTTATAATATGAGTAGTTGCACAAGATGCCATCATATTATAATTTTACAATATTATCTGCAGAAATTTAAGTGATTGTTGCATATTGTACATAGAATTAGCATGTCATTAGCAAGGCACAATTTGGGTTGACTCTTTCGGTTACCCCAGTCCATCATTGGATATAGTCAATCACAATGCCTGTACATTTGCGGATTTATCATGCATTGAGCCTTTTTACAGCTCTTCTGTGCCACTAACTATTATACGATGTCTCGTCAACCAGGTAGGATTAAGATTTTTGGTGACATATATCCTAATGGTGTCTGGGATGAACTTAAGGAAGGAGTTGCTCCTCACATATGTGGAAATCTTGTTGCACTTGCTTCGTTCAATGGTAATTTTACTGTAATGTGCTTATAGTATATTTCACATTTGTATTTAGTCGTCACTAGCTAATGACAATTATGTTGCCCAGGTGAATCAAAATTATTTGCATGCACGGGATTTTTCGTTGACTACTATGCTGATAAATGCCCGGCTATTCTGACATCAGCAAGCTTGGTTAGGAATCGTGATGGCACAATTATTGAGGGCTTAATGGTTGGTGCTCCTAATTATATTGTGCGATTCTTGTTCTTTCAAGACACTGCTTTAAGTCTCGTAGTATTGTTTGCAGATTGAGGTGCGTTGCTTCCAAACAATGAACGCTGTGAAGGGAAATTGGAACATTATAGTTTACATTACAATGTTGCTCTAGTCAGCGTCAAGAATTATAATGTTGATTGTCCTGCGAATCTGAAACATCAGACGGTGGATTATTCTAAGGTAGTAGCTGTGGGCCGTCACTTTGAACCAGATTTAGTTATGGCTGCAGGTGGGAAATGTACCAGGTGGTCAGGCAAACTGGATTGCAATGATCTTCGTTACGCTGCATGTACAATCACTAAGGTTGCGCCATTGATTTTCTTTTTTTAATTGCCGCATGAATATGATGTACTTGGCATCACAACTGACAACCTCTCCATTTAATTAACCTGGTTAGGCTGGGATTGAGGCCCCTTGTTGATGTCAACGGCAATTTTATGGGCATGAACTACTATGATAGGAACATGGGAACTCCGTACCTGCCGTTTGATCTTCTCTGCGGAATTCTGAACTATTTTAAGACAGGACGGTAAGTGTGGATTTTTCTTTCGGTGTTGAAGTTTTTGTTAGTGCTGCTAACAGGTTTTTGTTTTGCACTTGACTGAGATTTGTTAGAACATTTCAATAATCAAGCTGGAGGAGGTTCAGTCAACATAATTTTTATTAAATCCAATCTTTTTGTGTTTGACAGAACAAATTATGAGAAGATAGAACCTCATTCATCATTACCTGGTCCGGAGGCCCATATTGTTAAAGATGGCGAGAAACAACCACAAAACAGGTAATGTTGATACATGTCGTTACAATTAAATTGCCACCTTTGTAAATATATATGCTGATAATGAACGTGCAGCCATAGCCAAGCCCAATAGATATTGGTACCGTAATGGGGCTTTTAGCGTGTACAAGTAGTCCTACGTACGGTCGTGGAGCTTTTACTACCGTGTACATACAAGTAGTCTTTATTCTACGTACTCTGCTGAACCTGACGTAAGCTTTTGTTTTAGCTGGATTCCTTGACGAATCTTTGTTTAATATTTGAACCCCTATATACTTGTTATGCAAGTCAAGAACTGTGCTGCTGAATCGTATGAGCCGCCCAAATAAACAACATTATGCTGGTTTCCAAATGTGCTGTCGCATGAAACCATGGATGGATGATACCACACGATGGATAGTTGTTTCTTGAGCTATATTCACGCGGGCTGGGCCGAGGCACCGAGTGCCCGTCTGCCCACCCACCCCTCCGCACGCACCCGACGTCCGTTCATGAGCCGCCCGATTTTTTTTTATTCCGATGTTTTTTTCTTGTTTTCTCGATTTTTTTATTCCTATTTTTTCTATTGTTTTCTATTGCCGGAATTCGACTTTCTCTGCGTTTGAGTGTCCAGCTTTTTTGAGTATTTAGAGGGGCCGGCTTTTTCCCGTTTTTTTTTATTTGTCTAGTAATATTTTTTCCCCAACCACATACTTATTTTAATTGGATCATAAAAAATGTCGAACACCAATCCTTAATTGTTTGGTTACTATACTGGACTGGGGAGGCCTGGCCAGGCAGCTCGCTCAGCCGCAGGCGTAGGAAAATGAACGCCTGAGATCCTTGCCTGGCGCAGGCAACTTTTCCAGGTTACAAAGCAAACACGCCCTAAAACTTTGTTGTATCACTGTGAAAGTTATGCTACAATCAGCATTTGAGTAGTTCGTACATCAATCACATGTGAAATTAAATCGCAAAACAATGGAACAGTTGGGACTTGGGAGGACTATAGTTTAATTAATTAATTTTCAGAATACGAAAATGTACAACTTCATCAATCTCTAATCTTTTCCGTCAACAACAAATAGATAACAAGATAGCTCTATCCTTAAAAGGATCACTTTGACACTCAAATCAAATGAACCAATATTATTGGAATGATCGGGGCCAGCACGACATGTGCAGTTTGGAATTCCATATTCCAGCCTGAGCTAATGGTGAACTGGGCTAGATCTGAAAGGGTGCACCACACCACCTGCAAAAATCATTTGAATGCTGTTGTCT